AAAAAAAAAAAAAAGAAAGGGGTACCCCAAGGACAACCGAAAAACTGTCTAATTATAAAATTGCTTTAATATGTTGGACATCTCAAATGGTCTCGTTGTCTGCAATAGGACAAAGACTGCTTTGATTCCGAATCTATTCACCTGGGTGGAATTGGGGCTGTTGTGGGGAAAATCTAAAACACACACACACACACAGTTGGACACAACATTTCTCACTGCAATTGTGCGAGAGGAAACCCGAACTGATTCATGACATTAGTGACCGGCAAAGTGGTAAGGATTCTGGTGAGAGGCATTGGAGAAAGTTGGCATGCGCAGGTAGTTAGTGACACCTACCTACAGACTATCGGCAGTTACGACCAAAAAGGAAAGAGAAAGAAGCAGGAGGGAAAGAGGACCAAGGAAGCAACGCCATTTTCGTGTCCGGTGGGGTTCGATCACCGAACTCGCATATTAACAATCAAAAGCGGTTTGCACTTTGGAGTCCATCTAGCCGGAAGTTTAACATTGAAATGATTTAGCATTTAATTAGATTTAATCAAATTTTAATGGTATGAACTTACTATGAAGTTACTATGAACTTAAGGAAGAGTAGAAACAACTAGAAAGTTATTAAATGGATTTACAATTTTACATGTTTTTCCAGAGGGTAAAAAAAAAATAGAAAAATTGACAGTTCACTTAACATGAGGAGATAATTCAGATGGATTAAGTGAATTTATGTCTTCTGAAATTCAAAAGTATGATATTTAATATTTATCGAGAAAGTTGAAATGCATTGCTGCGGTTCACGCTGGATGTATATATTTAAATTAATTTAATATTATTAATTTATTATATTGTCCCATACCTAGTACCTACGAACTAAAAGAGCGCAAATTGCGAAACAAAGGAAGACAATAGCAGACAACATGAAGCACTTGGCTTGCCAAAAAAAAAAACATGAAGCACTCAGACACTGTTCTTTAAACATTTTCTCCCTTTGCCTGTGCACTTCGTTCGTTTCTTTCGTTTTTTCCCCTTTGGCTTTTTGCACGGCTTAGAGTACTTTTACTACTTACTTACTTAATAGTAAGTTAATACCACAGTCTAGTTATCTGAAATGGTTTTCACCTTTTTTGCAGTTACAGATGCGGGCCCCAGAGTTCGATCCCCAGACCTTACCCTATCCGTGTACAGTATCAGGTTAACCCCTGAGTGTTTGAGCCCACGACCTGTGTTTTGGGAGTTGGCTGTTGTCTGTCGTAGGTCTGTGTAGTTGTAGGGGTTCGAACTATAGGTCTGTCGAGTAGGGGTCATAGCTGTCTAGAGGTTGTATCTGTAGCGTGTCTGAAAGGTCAAGGTCGTAGCTGCTACAGTCCCGAAAGGCCAAGTCCACAGACTTCCGGAAGGTCCGGAAGTGGCCTTTCGAGAGTTTCTTACGTTTAGTCAGAGGCAAGTGGGCAAGTGGTGGTGTCCAACTTCGCTTAGTCAGCGGTACCCAGTCCCAGTCTCACTTTGCACTGTCAGCAAGTACCATGAGGGACTGTGTACATCATGGGCCCGGTGGAAAAGGGGCAGACCAACGATTCACAGAAGTATAAATCAAGAGGCAGCGCCCAGCCATTCATTCATTCGCTGCGTAAGCCATGCGGAAGCGCTGCCCCAGCGTCTTGTGCGAGGTGGTCTGCAGAGTGCCCAAAGTCGAAGTGGGCTGGAAGGAGATAGCGTAGCCATAGTAATGGTAGTGAGCGGCCATAGCCGCCATAGGTTAGAGATAGTTGTTAGTGTGTATGTGTGCGTGATACAGAGTGAGTGCGCGTGGGGTATTCAGGGTGATCCAGAGTCGAGTGTGTGCGAGCAGAGGTGTTGGACACAGTAACAAGAGTGGGATGTACAGGCGCTGATGCGCCATAGCCTGTTGAACTGAGTTTGCATCTGAACTGTGTTCGTGGTTTCCATGTCTCTGAGCTTCGAGTGGGCGCTTGGCGCCAGTGTGAATCGCCATCTGTTTGCATGTATGTGAAGTGAAGAAGAAAGCGAGTCTGATTGCAATTTATTATTTAACCCATAAATGAAAAAAAAAGTTGCCCATCTCAGCAGTTTGGTCTGGGCCCAGCAGTTTTCTCTGGGCCGAGCACACACAGTTTCCCACCTTTCACTGCATGCTAGATCCACTGCCAGCACTGGCTGCGTAGTGCCTTTTTTTTTTTTTTTTTGTTCTTTTTTTTTAATAATTAAAACACTGCCTGATGGTCCTGATGACCTATCTGGAGAGGTAAGCACCCTTCACCCCTTTTTTTTTTTTTTT